TGATCAGCGGCTGATTCCAGGAAGCCCGGGGCAGAGCAACTCTGCCTCGGGCTTCCTGTAGTCAACCGCTGGTCAGTTTCAGCAGCGGCTGAATCTGGATGCCAGTTCCGACTTACATACAGATTCAACTTAAGAACAAACCTAGAGTCCCTATCTTGTACGTAACCCGGGGACTGCCTGTACTCCAGGTTCTCAGAGGGGTAGCCATGTTAGTCTGTAACTAAAAAACAACAATGGTCCTATTGCACCTTAGGGCACATCTACACAGCAGGTTTTAACTCGAAATAAGTTATGCAAATTGAGCTACAACAATCATGTAGCTTATTTTAAAATAGCTTATTTTGAAATTGGGAGCATCTACACAGCACTTATTTCAAAATAGAGCACTCTTCCTCCAACTCCCTTACTCTTCATACAATGAGGGTTACAGGAGTAAGAAGTCCTCCAGCTTGACAGTATTTTGATATTATTTCTATATAACTGCCTGCTGTGTAGACACAGACTGTTATTTTAAAATATTGCTAGTTGTTTCAAAATGATGTTGCTGCGTAGATGTATCCTTAGAGACTAAGAAAAATATATAAATAGTATCATGAGTTTTCATGGGCACAACCCACTTCATCAGCCAAGGGTAGTGTTAATTTTCCTTTTATTTGATTTCAGATTAAAAAATCATAAGCATTGCTCCTTGTTAATTATCCCTTGTTTTAATATATTTTCTTCCACACCTATAGACTTTTTAAAATATGTATTTATATCTAGGGGTTTTTTTTGTACTGGTGGGTGCACATCCACACACTACCTCAATATTAGTGTTTCTCATAAGAAATTTCAACCCGCCCAAAATTAAATTCACCTCACCCAAGGATGAAAACTCTTAGAGGGAACACTGCCCAGAATGTCTGTGGCAGAACCAAGATGTGAACCTAGGCTTCTAGACTCAGTGCAGGTACAGAAGCACAGGTCCAGCCTTCCTCTTTAAACCAGGGCTGCTACTATCAGATCAGTGAAAGCTCTCATAAGATACAGCATCACCATCAGCATTTCTCGGCTCTTTACCTGATCAGTGGCTGGTGTAATGCGACCAGTGAGGCATGCACTGTAACAGATATCACTGACAAGTGGAAATAGTCAAACATGACAGGAACATGGTGGTGTAAGCCTCTTCTTGGGTGGAAGTGAAGCCCCAAAGTACGGCTGCTTATCACAGGGATCGCTGGAATGTCTCTCAGCCTGCAAGGAGAGGTTTACAAGGGTTAGCGAAATCTTAAGTTGTCATAGTCTGCAATGGCATTAAAGGCAGCAGCCTGGGAGACCATGAACTGAATTTTTATCACTTCATGATGGCAGTCACAGCTACGGGAACATTGACACAGCTGATGCTTATCTCTTAATTGCACTTGCAAGGAGCAGGGATGTAAGTATTGTTACTCCACAGTGATGTGACAGAATGCAGGAGCCCCATCCTATGTCTGCCTGGCAAGCAGCAGTCTCCCTCCTGTACCCCACGCTCACTGAAGGATAAAGCTTTGGAGTGGCAAGGAAGAAGTGCAGGTAGCAGGTTGCCCGGCTAATTTAAATTTCAGTCCCCAGAATTTAGTATTAAGCTATGTGTGTAGCACCCGACAGTCTGCTTTGCCTCAGGGGAACAGCAATAGCAAAAGAACGGGCTGGTTCCTGAAAGGTTTGAAAGCCCACAGAAGGGTTCACCTTTGGAGGAACAGAATCATTTCACTGAGACTTGTGTTACTATCCCTACACAAATACCACTAGATAAACTTTGCTTTTAAACAGGCTTGGTGAATACCTGTTCAGATAGCATTAACACATATCATATATATATATAGTAGCCCAATGTCCGTGACTCTGTAACGCTGTAGTGTTATAAGTCACCTCTGGGGGGTGCTGTTGCCTCGCGCCATGGCGCTTGGCTGAATTCTGTGCTGCTCAGCCGGGCCGCCACGGGGGAGGTGCTGCATGGGGAGCGAAGGACTCAAACAGCCACTTCTACCGCTTGCTCCCCCGTGGCGGGCCCAGACCTCAGCCAAGTGCCATGGCAGGAGGGGAAGGGGATGGGGCAGTGACGTACACAGCCAGGGAGTGGGGACCGGTCGTGTATGTCACCGCCCCACCCCGCCTCCCTTCCTCTCCCGCCATGGCACTCAGCTGAGTTCTGCGCTGCTCAGCCAGGCCACCGCGGGGGAGCCCAAATGGTCACATCTTCCACTTGCTCCCCCACGGCAGCCCGCCACAGCGGGAGGGTAAGGGGGTGGGGCTGTGATGTACACACCCAGGAGGCAGGACCTGAATGAGCATGCATCCCCGACAGAGACAGAGGAGAGCGGAGAGAGAGTGAGAGGCAGGAGGGGAAGAAGAGAAAGAAAGAGACAGAGCAGAGAGAGAGTGAGAGGCAGGAGGGGGAGAAGAGAAAGAAAGATGGAGAGAGAGGCAGAAGGTGGAGGAGAGCTGAGATAGAGAGTGGGAAGCAGTAGGAGGAGGAGGAGAGAGAGAGAGAGAAGGAGCGAGAGACCGGGGGTTTAGAAGAGAAGACTGACGTGGAGGAGAGATCTGAAAATCCCGTCTTATGACAGGCTAATTGGCTAGTGCTAGGTTATTTCTGACCAATCATAACTCATTTTCCCCATTGCAGCTGTGCTTTCTCTTCTAGGCCCTCACCTCACCCCTGACAGCACTGAGTTAAAGCTCTGCCTGCCCAGCATGGCTAATACACCACTCCTTTCATCTGAACCAGGCAGAAGCAAAAGAGGAAATTGCAAACTGAGCTCCACTGTAAGGTGGGCCAGTGTATAAGGTGACTTAGGACCACACTAGGTGTAGAGCCCAACTGCAAGAAGCTCATTGTGGACCTGATCTAACTGTTCTATTTACTGGATGGCTTCTCAATGACCTCAGTAGGGCCTAATAGGCTCCTTCGGGCATAGTGATGAGGGTGGTCTGGCAAGACTGGTGAACTAGGAGTAATGCAAGGGCTGATCTATCTCCCAAGGAATGGCAAAGCTCTCATTGACTTTAGAGGCAAAGGATCAGCCCTTACCCTGTACACACAGAGGGTGAGGTTTTCCAGCAGTGCTCAGTATTGGCCTAACTCTGGCCCTGATTCAGAAAAGCACCAGATACCTGCTTTAGTCCATCCTTATCCAGAGAAGTCATGAAGCATGTCCTGGAAAGGGAACCTGATCCCACAGAGTCAATTGGAAAATGCCTTTGGACTTCCATGGTAGCACAGAGAGAAAAGTGCTAAGCACCTCTGATAATTCCACTCCTAAAACAGAAAACCTCTTACTGCAAGGGGAGGGATGACAAAAATGCCCTTTGTGGAGAAGGGTGGGAGAGAAATGAGCAGGCATCTCTGCAAAGAAGGAAGCCAAAACAAAGCTCTCTCATTTCCAAAAGACCCTTTAAGTTTCACTGAATAAGACAGAGAGTCACTGCAATATCAATGGTGCTTTAAAACTGCACTTACTGTTGTTCACTATCAGTAAAGTGCAGGTCCAGCTTGAGCTGAAAATCTGCTTCGCTTAATGCATCTTCCACCTGCAAAGGACAGAAGGGCAGAGTTACCTGTGTCAACCAGCTCTCACAAAACCAGACTGCAAAGCAATATTTTTGTCTGACACAGAGATCAAATACATGCAGGAGGGTTGGGATGAAGCCGCTGATGCGCATACATAAAACACCTGGGCACTCTAACTATTCAACAAAGCAGGATTCAAGTCTGCTGTCTGGGTTTAGACAGCCAAACATAACCTGGCTGTGGAACGAGACTGAGGAGATCTCATAGCGTTCGCAGCAGGAGAACTTTCGCAGAATGGAAAATGTTTCACAATGCGGAAGGAACCTACGTGATAAACGTTGCGTCCAGCTCTCATTCAGCTTCAGAGCAGAGCTGTTCTGTGGTAAAGTTTTGGCTCATCTCAATCTCAAAAAGACTATGCGGAACCGACTGGTTCAGACGTGTTTATTATCTCTGGGTTTATACTCAGCCGTTGAAGAAGTTTGGTGAACAACTACCACTGTTGTACACAATCGGTTATTATTTGTTTTGTAGCAATGCCCAGGAGCCCTGGTCATAAACAAACAGCCCATTGTGCTAGGTGTTGTACCAAACGTATAAGAACAAGGCAGTTCCTCACCCAAAGAGCTGACAGTCTAAATAAACAACAGAATTTAGCTATGGAAAAATCATATTAGCTCATCTAATCCAAACCCTGTTAGTGAAAGATGTCCCACTGTGAACATAAGAACATAAGAACGGCCGAACTGGGTCAGACCAAAGGTCCATCTAGCTCAGTAGCCTGTCTGCCGACAGTGGCCAGCACCAGGTGCCCCAGAGAGGGTGGACCGAAGACAATGATCAAGCGATTTGTCTCCTGCCATCCTTCTCCAGCCTCTGACAAACAGAGGTCAGGGACACCATTCCTACCCCCTGTCTAATAGCCTTTTATGGACCTAACCTCCATTAATTTATCTAGCTTCTCTTTAATCTCTGTTATAGTTCTAGCCTTCACAGCCTCCTCTGGCAAGGAGTTCCACAGGTTGACTATACAGTGAGTGAAGAAGAACTTTCTTTTATTAGGTTTAAACCTGCTACCAATTAATTTCATTTGGTGTCCTCTAGTCCTTATATTATGGGAACTAATGAATAACTTTTCTTTATTCACCCTCTCGACACCACTCATGATTTTATGTACCTCTATCATATCCCCCCTCCGTCTCCTCTTTTCTAAGCTGAAAAGTCCCAGTCGCTTTAGCCTCTACTGTGACAGACAGTACCACAGGCACCCCAAAAATAGTGGGTGCTCAGGTCCCACCAGCCACAGCTGTTTGCTGTCACCTCTGGTCAGCTAATTGGGGATGCCACCACACAACTGTTTGGCAGTTTGGGTAGAGTCTTAAAGGAGGGCAGAGAGCAACAAGTGGCTGATGGGTAGAGGCCCTAGGAAGGGGGCAGGAAGAGGCAGAACAAGGGCATGACCTCAGGTGGAGTAGGGATGGGACTTCAGGGAAGAGCATCCTCAAGGAAAATAAAATTCAGTGCCTATGTACTGTATTGTCATGTTCATACTTTTTGCAAGACTGTGATGAATTTTGTATATAGTATGCCTTATAAGGTATCATCTGAAAACTCATAATTTGCTAAACATTATTTTCCTGGCAAAATATATTTGGCGACATTGCATGTACTAATATAATTCTTCTGCATGATGTCTCTAGGACACATTCCAAATCTGAGGAAGCAGCCTAGACCCGTTCCACAGAGACAAAGAGCTAGACAGCAACTCAGCCAGGTGTCTGCATAATGAAAGAGACCGTCACCAGATTAAGCAGACATTTTTGGGGAGGTAGAAGGGCGTGAGTGAGAGATTTTATACCCTGGCAGACAGACTTGCTGTCACCTGAACCCAGCTGGAGATGATTCTCAAAGAAAAACTATAAGAAGGGACAACACAGGACACAAATCCTCTCTCCCCTTATCTCTGCTCATGGTATCAACAAGGTTTGAAAGACAAAAGGAGAGAACTGAACTCAAGGCGAAGTTCTAGCTGAAAGATCCAACCAGAGTGCTATGAACATATGGTGAGACAAATCCTGTTGCTTTAAATTCACTTAGCTTGTTAAATAGGTCTTAGTCTGTTTTACTTTTTATTTCTTTGTAACCAACTCTGATGTTTTTGCCTCATTGCTTGTAAGCACTTAAAATCGATCCTGCTACAGTTAATATACTTGTTTTATTGTTTTAACTAAACCGGTGTGTTTGTCTTGAAATGTTAAGAACCCCCATTGGAGGGAATAGGGATGGTGCTCCTGTATGAAGTTACACTGTCAGTAACTATGAGCGTGGTTAAATGTTTATCACTGTTGGAGCCAAGATACCAATTCCCATATTACATTTATAGATTATACAGTTTTCCCCACAGTGTGATCAGGTATCTGATTTTTTGCATCAGCAAATCATGGATAAAAGATATCAAACTTAGCATCAATCTAACTAAGACCTGAAAAATTAGCATTCTGACATGTTTTGGGAAAAGATTTCCATACAGGTCTCCAGTTGGAGAAACTAAGCTATTCTATGGCATGCAGAGTTCCTGTTAGACACCTGTGAAGGATCCAGCAGGTTTTAAACAGTACTCTGATTTCTCAATAGTCTGAATATTTACATATCCAACCTATGAAAGTCAAAAATAGAAGACGCTTTTATCATGGATCTGCATTAGCATTAGGCTAAGGGACCGATTCTGGTATCTCATTAGCTAGACACACATATAGGACTGCACAAAATTTGCAATTTCCATCCTGTGCAAATCTGAAGTATTTCACACACAAAAATGGTCCCATTTTGGGACCAAAAGTTCATTATTTTTTTCTGGAATGGAAATAAAATATTAAGACATTCCAAAACCAAAAATGTTTTGCTTCAATTAACGGTAATGTTTTTAGTCAATTCAATATTGAGCTGCATTTTCCCTTAGTGGTGCACTGCTAAATGCACCCAAAGTCGTTTGACTTCCATGATGCAGTGCACACTGCAAGGATTTCCACCTTTCGTTATGGGAAAATGTAATCCTCCAGGAGCCCAGCACTTAGGGGAGGAGAAGTCTAACTACAACTCCCATAAGGCGATGTACTGACAGGGAAATACAATGTAATGTTTTGGTGTGGAATTGATTCAAAACAGAGTAAGTTCAAAAATAAAATATTCTGATTAGGGTTAAACTGGTCCTAACCAGCCCTATACCAACATAACCCCATTGACTATAATGTCCTTTGATCAGATGACTTCTCCAGCATAAATGTGCTCAGATTCAGGCTGAAGGAGTTCTAGTATAGCCTTTCCTTACGACAGCCTGAATGTTCTCCACAATGCTCAGCCTTGACGGCTGGTGCTTGAAACTATAGTGGAAGAGCAAATGTGGCACACAGCAGGAACAGCCAGGAATAAATGAAATGGCTTCTCCTCACTGTGGGTGTGTCTAGACTACATGGCTCTGTCGACGGAGCCATGTAAATTAGCATATTTGGCATAGGCAAAGAAGTGGGGATTATTTCATGAGGCATACCAGAGCGGTCAACAAAGGTTTCCCCTGTCGATCGCGGCACGTCTAGATTGCCCCGCTGTGTTGGATCAGCTGATCATCGGCACAGCGCGGCGGCCATGTTTATTTTAATGAAGCGGGGATTATTTAAATCCCTGCTTCTTTGCCTAAGCCCAATACACTAATTTACATGGCTCCATCGACGGAGCCATGTACTCTAGACACACCCTATGTGACGAAATGTGCACCTAACTGAGTGGCTCTGGAGTTAACAATGAACCCTGAAAGAGAGAGAGACTTCTTGAAATGTTTTTTTCTGCTCTAATGACTTTGAGGTACCTTCAAAGCTGCTGAATACCTTCCAAAATCTGGACCTCTGGATCTTTATCCAAAGCTCACTAACATCAGTGATTGGCTATTATTTCACACTGATGATCTTTTAATCGGCCCTCAAGTGTTACTGGAAAAAACTTGCTTAGGAATTCTGTATACACATTTGTGTGTATATTCTTTTATGGAAGACATCTTTATAAGGTGGCTTGCTTACAAATTTAAAAAAATGTAAGATGAAGGACTTTCTATTTCCCTATGGTTGATTTGGATAATTGGTGCTGTGTGCCCCCAATACGCAGGTTGAGAGAATAAAAACTACTCAAAATTTACCGTAAGTAATCCCAGATTCCTGTCATGTGGCTCTACTCTACCATCACACCCCAGAATGCATCTTCCATCATATCACCATTTAATGAAGAGCATGGCACCAGTCAATAAAATAATAATAAATAAAACAATAGTATGAATATTAACAGTACTTAATAAATTGAAAGTTATGAGAAAATAAACTAGGCTCCTTTCGAACCCCCTTGGCTGTTTGACCCTGCACCACAATTTCCAATAAAATCAAAGAATGATGCATTCTGGGACATTAAAATGAAGCATAGCCACAACACTACAGTGTTTTAATGAGATCTGTTTGGACGGTGCTCCGGCCCTGGGAGCTAACCGTGCTGCAGCTCTGCCTTTTGAATGTATTAGGAGCCTGCTGGCTCTTAATACATTTAAAAGGCTGAAGTGCAGAAGGGGGGACCTGATGCAAGCTGGACCAGCTGATTCCTGGCTCATGCCTGGTCCCCCCATGGTGCAACAGCCTTAAATATAAAAAGGCAGGAGCACAGTGGGGGACCCAGTACAAGCCATGAATCAGCTGTCCAGGCTCATGCCAGGTTCCCCTCCCTCCCACTGCACTTCTGATTTTTAAACGTATTAAGAGCTAGCAAGCTAATTCCCAGCTCACGCCTGGTCCCTGCTATCCCCCTGCTTCCTCTGCCCCCCACAGAGATGGGGCTGGAGGAACAGGCCTTTAAGCCGGCTCTCCCCAGCACCAGCTCCTGCTCCCTGCCCTTTGCTGCCTCTGATAGAGGCTACCAGGATGGGGAAACGACTAGTCGAGGACCTAGTCGACTATCCAATTAGCTTTTGTTTATCGGATAGTCAACTAGTCACTTACATCTCTATGCAGTACAGGGGGTGAAGGCTTTGGCTGGGGAGCAGCCTCCAGAGTGGGGTCAGAAATGAGGGGCTCAGGAAGTGGGAGGGGGCTCTGGGCTGGGGCAAATGGTTGGGGTGTAGGCTCTGGGCTGGGGCTGGAAGTGAAGGTTTTGGGGTGCAGGAGAGGGCTCTAGACTGAGACTGAGAGGTTCAGAATATGGGAGGGGGCTCTGGGCTCGGGCAGGCAGTTAGGGTGCAGGGCATGTGGTGTGCAGGGTCCAGGGGGTAGCTGTGGTAAGGGAGGAGGACCAGGGCTGGGGCAGAGGTGCAGAAGGGGGTGAGGAGTGTAGACTCCGGGAGGAAGTTTGGGTATAGGAGGGAGCTCTGGGAGGGAGTTCGGGTGCACCCTCTGAGGCAGGAGGTTGGGATGCAGGAGGGGGTGCAAGGAGCAGGCTCTGAGCAGTACTTACCTCAGGAAGTGGCAACACAAATCTTGGCTCCGAGGCATAGGGGTGATCAGGGTGGTGTGTACTGCCTCCACTTGCAATCGCTGCCCCTGAAACTCTCAGTGGCCGCAGTTCCGAGCCATTGGGAGCTGCAGAGCCAGCGCTCAGAGCACAGTCTTGCCTTTTCGGGCATCACCTGGAACTAGGTAGGGAGCCTGCCAGGCCCACCAATTAATGGCTGCCAGGGGCTCTTATTGACCAAGCATCCCAGTCAGAAACCAAACACCTGGCCACAGTACTTGGTGTGCTCATTGCCCCTCCAAACCTGACAGCATCTCCCATCTCCTGCTGGACTCCTGATTTTCCCCCCTACATTTATTTGCAAAAGACAATTAAGCTTCTCTAGAAGCAGATTACAGGGAGAGAATCTAACCCAAATCCACCCCATATTACTCTTCGTACTGAATACACTGTCAGCAGCCTACCCCCTGGATGGAATCACTAACGCACTGTTTGGCAGTGAACACAGCTCATTTACTGGAATATTTTATAAATTGTGCTGCGACAGCCAAAAGGCGCCGAGGATATTAACTCAAGCACCCACGACTTTCCAATTAACTTTATTGGTCATTGATCAGCTCTGTGGCCCTGTGACTCTTCCAGTCTTATTCCTACAGAGTTGCACTTTCCGCCACAGCTTGCAAATCTAGGTGCTACTTGACGTGAAGAAGGCTGGCAGGATGGGGCTCTATCATGTGATAAATAATCCATCAAACAATGGGCTGAAAAGCCAAGCTTCTCAGTGACAAAATTACTGTTACTTGTTATATACACAGTGTCAACAGTACATCCAGGGATGTGGAAATTTGTAAGTGACACAGAGTCCGGTTCTCCTTTCATTTACTCCTCAATTGCTCTCGTGTAATTCCAGTGATGATAACGGAGCCAGTATCTGTCTAAAGCCAGAGTGTGAGTGGTGAATCAGTCCCCTGTCCTTTCCCCTGGGATCTCATTATTTCAACCATGCTCCAAACAACACATCAGGCACAGAGCTGAGTCTGTGCAGGTGTGAGGAATCGGACAGAATCATTTTTGCTGTGCAAAACTGTCCCAAATGCGAGTGGAGAAGTTAGCATGAAAACCCGATGGAAACCCCTGTAATTTGGGGAGAGAGGCTGATTAAGCAAAGTTTTTGCATGCCAGTAAATTAATTAGCAATTACATAGTGGGGAGAGGGATAGTTCATTGGCTTGAACATCGGCCTACTAAACCCAGCATTGTGAGTTTGATCCCCAAGGGGGCCATTTAGGGATCTGGGGTAAATCTATCAGGGATGGTACTTGGTCCTGCCATCAGGGCAGGGGACTAGACTCAATGACCTCTCAAGGTCCCTTCCAGTTCTATGAGATAGGTATATCTCTTCATTTATTTTATTACATGTTTTAGAACTCTTTTCTAAACAAACCTTAATATGTGGAAGGATGGTAAGTTTCCTCTTCCTTCACAGTTCTTGATCGTCAATTTCTCATACAAACAAACATGAAACTGGAAGCTAACGCTTTAGGAAAGTGCATAGGAGATCAGTCACATGGCAAAAAGAAGGTCAGAACGCAGCTCCGAATGAGCTTAAATTAGGCTTAAACTAAAACTAATCTAAAACCATAGCTGTTTGTTTTGAAAGCAACATGTGCATTGAGATGAGCCAAAGCCAGAACACGGCCTCTGCTCCTCTTTGGATTTCAGGATATGGAGGGAAGGAGGGGAGGGAGCTGATTTGCCAGACCCAGACCTGACCCATTTATCCTAGATGGGCTGCAGGTCCAGACGGGCCCATTGTCTGATGCAGCTGAATTTTTGCAAGAGCTGATCTCTTGAGAACAGCCGTCTCCACACTGTGAAAGGATAAAGCAGAACTCCACAGGGGTTGCTCCTTCCTTTGTGCCCAGAAGGATCATAAACCATCCAAGAGTGAAGATGGAGCTATGACCCTGCTCTCCCACTACTCCCCCATAGCAGCCAGCTCTGGGTATCCCAAGTAGGAGAACAGGCTGGACTAGCTAAAAGGAGACTGAAGACTGAACACACCCCAGGAAGCTCCAGGAGGGCTGGAGCAGGCCCCCAGTACTGGCTAGAGCACAGAAGACAAGAGCAGCTGTTAGTTTCAGCTTAGTTCTAGCATTGAGTGGGACACCTGATGTCCGGATACCGCCTGTGCTTTATAACAGAAAATTCTTCATTTTACTCACATCCAGTGCCAACTCACCCTCTCGCCATCTAGGAGTAAGTGGACCCTGAAGCTCATCGATTCGTTCATAACAATCTCTTCATTCCGGTATAAGATCTGAAATATTCTACTGAGTACGTTGTTCTCGTGGACACAGGCTGAGGAGAGGCTAGAGTCACCTGCACAAAACAGACAGAGCACGGCTTTGGATTTTTGCAAAGAGGTAATTTTCGAGCGGATATCTCGGCTTCCAGGATTAATTAGGACCACTGTATTTGTAATTACACACTTGCGTTCTTAATAATTCATGTTAATGGAACATAATGTTGTTGCAGGATAATGGTCCCCTGCTGAGGCATTTAAAGAAAACAAAGCTGTGGCCAGCAGGCAGCTTTTCCAAGGGGGGCACTGGCATTGTTTCTAAGGACTGATATGGCCTCTGAGGTTGTCCAGAGTGTTTTTGGATCCCTACGCATCTCATCAGAATGCTATCCAAGTGAGTTGGAGTCTATACAATGCAACTGGATATCTCCTAAGAAAGCAGGTACTTCCATGGACTATCATGGTGGGAGGAGAAATTCCAGGACACCGGTCCCCTCGCCGATCCAGGCTAAAACACAGAAGTGCAATGGCACCACAATATAAAGCCACAATGAGAGAAAGAGCTGTCTAAATTTCTCCAGACCTCTAAAATCTCGGTGGAATCCTTGGGATCTTGGCTGTATGACCACTTCCCTTTTGGGCGACACAGCAGGAACCTCCAGAGCAAAAAAAGCATTAGCTACTATAGTCTGAGGTAAAGATGCTCTCTAGCGAGGGCCATAACAGACTCACCTCCAGAGAGACTCATCTCCATCTCATCTACAAGCGGGGCCTGTACCAGACAGACTTAGTCTATAGTGCCAGCATGCCCAGTTTCTGATCTAAGAGTTTCGAGTGTTCAGAGACTTTCAAGGTGTGTCATAAATGTTCATCGGTATCCTCTAGTATTTACTTTTCTGTTGCCCAGGCACAACAGCTTCCCCACCAGGCTTCCTTCCACTAGGCGGGGAGGGATAGCTCAGTGGCTTGAGTATTGGCCTGCTAAATCCAGGGTTGTGAATTCAATCCTTGTGGAGGCCATTTGGGGTAAAATTTTGCCAGGGATAGTACTTGGTCCTGCTGTGATGGCAGGGGACTGGACTTGATGACCTTCCAGTTCTAGGAGATAGGCAATCTCCATTAATTTCAAAAAATTTTAAATCAGGCACTATGCAGAGCCATTTGGTGGCAACGCAACTGTTTAATATACGGTCCCTGAATGCAGGACTGGCCCTATGGTTTTGTCACCTTGGTTAGAAAACATTTCCAAGGCCCCAGTTTCCACCCCTCACAAAAAGTGCAAGGAAATGCAATAGAAAAACTTGTCAAACATAAACCAACAGACACCCCAGGATTTGGCACACCTGAATGCTGGTACCTAAGGTAGCCACCTTGATTGGTCGCCCCAGAAATGGAATTTCTGACTGATGGGGTTTGGGTGTATTATCATCTCTCTCTCTATATATAAAAATTTTCCTGCAGGATGACAGAGTGACATCATGACATCACTCTGTGTCCCACTGCCCACCTCTGCCCTCAGCCATGCGCCCTTCCCCCTGCTCTTCTCTCTGTCCCCTATTTCCTTTCACAGTTCTCCTGCAGCCCCAGTTCATTCCCCCTGAATCCTTGCTCTCCCCTCCAGTTCCTGCCTGCTCAACAACCCCACACCCTTTCAGCTCAGGCTGCACACCTCTCCCAGCAGCCCATTGCAGAGCGGGTGGGCTTGGCACTAGCGGCACCTCCTAGTTCCTTCCTACCCAAGATAGCACGAGCCTCCCCAAGCATGAGAGGATCCTGAAGGAGATAGAGAGCATGGACATGGCCTATGTGGGGCCCACCCTGAAGTGAGGGGTTTGGGGGTCTGCAGACGGTAAAGAGCCTCTCGCCTGGTGACACCAAGAGGCTGAGCAGGGCCCCCACACTGATAGCTCCCCCCCAAGACACACAGGCTCCAGCACATGCTGTGGAGGCAAAGCACTTTGAGGGTTCATCCCCGCTGAGCCTCAGGGCCCCTTGTGCCCCCCAGGAAGGCCTCACCCTCCAGGAGTGGATTGTCTGCTCCTCTGTCCACAAAGCACTGCCCCCTTCCTGCTGGGACCCTGGCTCCCCTCTTCCCCGCTCCAGCTCCTGGAGTTAGGGAGGATGGTAGGTGTAGGAATAGAGGCAGGGGGATGGAGGTGTAGGAATGGAGGTGGGGGCAGGGATGAAAAGAGGGGATGTGGACCATGGAGCTCCAGGATAAGGACTAGTACCCCAGATTACCCCAGTGGGCTCTTTTCCCATGTGATCCAAACCTGGTTCTCAGTAGGGTGCGGGCGCATAAAGCTGGGAACTCCCTCATGCATCCATGTCTCTCCATTGTGCCCTGTCCATATGGAGCACATCCCAGCCCCATGGCTGGAGTGCACTTGCCAGCTGGAAGAGCACATCTGGAGTGTTGTCGCCCTGCAAAGATGGGCCATCACCGGGAGTGGAGAGTGGGAATTCTCTCACTACCTGGCCGCTTGCATGTCAGCCAGCCACTGCCCATTGCTAGCGAGCCAAGTGCTCAGGAGCACCCAGAACGAAGGGGATTTGTTTGGAGTTGGGTCCCATTTTACAGATTGTGGTTTTTGGTTACACATGAGGCCCACAAGCCATCAGAGCATCGCCTTTCCCTGTGCTATCTGCCAGGAGAGGCTCCGAACTCTGCACCCGAACTATTTTATCAATGGGTGGGGCAGGAGTGTGAAGGGTGCGGGGGGCAAAGGGGGCCTGGTTGGCAACTGAAGAGCACGATTGGGCGAATGGGCCAAGAGGATTCGGGTAGAGGGACCCACCTAGGTGCATGGTAGGGCAGGAGCAGAGAAGGATGCGAGTGATTTGGGGCCATGGAGAGCGCAGTCGGGCTCAGAGCAAGATTAACAGGCTCTCTGGCTGCAAAAGCGGCCAGCAAGAGGGGGTTCATGAGCATAGCAAATAGGGTGCAGCCCCCTATGTATTTATTTATTATTATTATTATTATTATTATTATTTTATTATGCTTAGGAGATCCTGTTGTGTTAGACCCTGTACAAAAAAAAGAACAAAATCAATAGTCGTTGCTCTAAAGTGTTTACAAGCTAATTGAACAACTCTCCTCGCTTTAGAGTGAGTCTACTTAAAAGGTGCAGAAGTTTTGCTCCTAAAAAAGAGAGACAGAACTGAAGAATGTAAGTCTCCCATCACTGTTCTGGAAATCACTCAAGCATATGTTTCTATGAATAAGAATGGAGCTAAGCAAGAATTTTGTTGAGCTGGGACTTTTATTCATATATTTTGTGCTCATCGCAGCTGCCAAATATATAGACTAGGCAACGCTGCTATGTCACTTGGAAATCCAAGAATACAACTGCACTAGGCAGAAGGCCTAGGAGATCACTGCTTTGTGAAACTGATCAAGAGGATCTCTCTCTCCCAAAAAGTTTACTATCTAAAAAGCTTTATGGAAAAATAAACATATAAAATATGTTGTATACAGATCAGACTTGAGTTCATTATTTATTGGGTCCACCTGGGTGAAATCCCAAACCACATTCAAGTTTAGAAGCTTTAGGGGGTAGCCGAGTTAGTCTGTACAGGAAAAAAAAAAATGATCTAGTAGCACTTTATAGACTAACAAAACATGTAGATGGGATGTAAGTGGGATGTGCCCACAAAAGCTCATGATACCATCTACATGTTTTGTTAGTCTATAAAGTGCTACCAGACCATTTTTTTTTTTTACATTCAAGTTTGTTTTCCTAATTATGGTTTTCATGAAGCATACTTAGGAACATACAAAATATTCCCTTTACCCAATGTCTTCCCATGAGATACCTGGACAGTAGCTGTGGGTAATGTGGACAATCCAAATAAAAGCATATTTACTTCGCTGTGCTAAAGCAGTTCCAATAGAATGCTTGAGCCAGATGAACTCTTCAAAGGCATGCAATCGTATTTATTTTAATTTAAACCTCATCATTTTAGAGACACCCTGGAAAATTATATTACAGACATAATGTATTCTTATTCCTCTCTGACAGACAAGAGGGCTTTGCTTTTATTTGATTTGGATATTGATATACTGGTTCTCTTCGGAGATGGAAAGTTTAATGTAATTTTCATTTCAAACACATTCCTGCCCAGACCACAGCTAGAGGATAATTGGTTTAGAAGCTGGATTTGCAAGGCAGCATTAGAACCACTATTTTTATTGAGAAGGTCAAAGTCAAAGACAGCTAACAATGCCCATGATTCTACACATTAAGGTGAATGGATACGATGCCTCCGGGCAGTGTTCCATTCAGCTTTGAAACTCAACATGCCCTATGTACACAGAGATCCACATTCCTAGAGGACAGCAGGGTATCATACAGGGAGGCAGTGTCACTTTCCTGTATCAGAGGGGTAGCCGTGTTAGTCTGAATCTGCAAACGCGGCGAGGAGTCCTATGGCACCTTATAGACTAACTGAAGTGTAGGAGCATAAGCTTTCGTGGGCAAAGACCCACTTCCTCAGATGCATCTGACGAAGTGGGTCTTTGCCCACGAAAGCTTATGCTCCTACACTTCAGTTAGTCTATAAGGTGCCATAGGACTCCTCGCCGCGTTTGCAGATTCAGACTAACACGGCTACCCCTCTGATACAGGAAAGTGACACTGCCTCACTACAAGATCCTGAACATCATGAGCCCCTAACCTCCTTCAGCAACTGCAGCCTTTGGCTTTGCTTCCAGCCCCACTCCAAAAGGTCACTTTGTGAAACAGTGGTGCAAGTCCCCTTGGAGCAGTGCATGATGATGAGCAGAGATCTCAAAAATGCTTAGAAGATGCTGGCATCCTGTCCCACCAGATGCAGGCGAGTGACAGCATCGCTGTTCTGTCAAGGGCCCTCTATTCTGATGTGACAAAAGTACAAGAGTTTAGGTAGAAGACATGTATGCTGGTTTAAAGGTGAACTGAAAACCAGTCCCTCCCCTCGGAGTTATTTCCTCTGCTAGTATAGATGGCATTGCTATCAGCTTAGGCATTATATAGATCACAGCTTATATGCAGATGTTAGCAATCCATGGCTGCTGCCAAACACAGAAAATCAAAGG